ATATTTGAATTTCTATTATTTTTAGTGAATTATGTTTCATAAATATTGTTTTACTTATGATTGATATAAAATATTTTTTCTCCTAAATGTTTTTTTTCAAAAACATTAAATTTTATTATTTATTATTTTATGGGGTTAGGTGGAACTTACTTAGCATTGTTGCTAATTTTTGTTTTCTTTTGTTTTTCTTTATGTACTTGATTTTGTACAGGTGACGCTTTGATGATGATGTTGACTTCGAGAGAGCTTCCGCTAGAAAACATAGTTAGTAAATCATTGTAATTCCATTTTCAATATCTTTAGTTAGTGAATAATTATTTTTGGAGTTTAAGTTGTTTTAGCCTGTGCACTCGGTTAAGGGAGAATCGAGTGTGGCGGTAACGCCTCTATTTCCCTTTTGGTTTTCCGCTGCATAACTCTGATGTTTTCGAATAAAGTTAATATTTCTTTTGAATAAAGTATTATTTTTGGGTGGGAAATTTGGGGGTGTTACAATGGTGATTCACCACAGGAAGAAATACAGGACAATGTTCATGTTGCAGGCTATAATAAGAGGAATAAAAGGGAGGACCAACCAGCACAGATGGACACTGATGCAAATGAAGACACTACTGAATATGACTCATCCAATGCTCCTACTATTACTTATGAGCATGAAGAAGATGAAGTTGAGTCTAAGAGGCCACATATCAGATTTCCTTGTTACAATCTTGAATCAGATCCACCCCATATTGAGTTAGAGATGTTGTTTGAAGATGGTAAACGATTCAAACAAGCAATAATTAGATATGTTTTGGCTGAGAAAAGAGACCTTAGGTTTAAAAAAACGAACCAGGAAGAGAAAGACTCAAATGTGCACCTAACTGCCCTTATACCATCACTGCTAGCTGGGATAAAATGTTTCCACGTAAAGGTGCTCAATCCAGAGCATTTGTGCAATTTGAAGTACAAGCTGAAAATTGTAAGTCAGAAGTGGCTTGCTAAAACATTTGAAGACAAAGTTATTGAGAATCCGGGGATGGGTGCTGTAGAACTTAAAAATTTCATAAAAGCTGATGCAAATTAAAAATCAATGTTTCTGTGAGTATGGCAACAAGGGCTTTGAGAGAGATTCAACAGAAAGCTAAAATTTCTTTTAAGGACCAATTCAAGAAACTGAGAAGTTATGTTTAGGATTGCCTGAAGTCTGTTCTAGATACCACAGTTGTTATAAAAACAAGGCTAAAGGGTCAAATAGGCCCTTGAACTAACTTAAAGTGTTCAATTAGCCCCTTATATAGGAGGTTCGGCCCGGCCATCGCCAATTGGGGAGGTTCCCGGTTGAATTTTTTGATGAAATTTTTTGAGCATCTTCTTCATTAAGTCTAGTTTATTCGTATCAAATTTCAGCTAAAAATTAAATCGGGAAGGCAGTCAAATGATTTTCCGAAATGTATTGCGTTGTTTAACTGCATAGTTATCTTCAAAAAATCATTTGACTGCTTTCCCGGTTGAACTTTTAGCTGAAATTTGGTATGGAGAAACTAGACTTAATGAAGAAGATGCTCAAAAGAATTCATCAAAAATTCCACCGGGAACCGCCCCAATTGGCGACGGCCGGGTAGAACCTCCTATATAAGGGGCTAATTGAACACTTTAAGTTAGTTCAAGGGCCTATTTGACCCTTTAGCCTAAAAACAGTGAGAGTGGTCCCTGAAGCTCCATGTGTCATTGAACGCATCTATATTTGTTTTGGGCCTGTCAAAAGAGGGGGTTTAGAAGGCTGTATGAAGATTATTGGTTTAGATGGTTGTTTCTTGAAAGGACAACTAAAAGGAGAGATATTAACCGCTGTAGAAAGAGATGCTAACAATCAAATGTATCCGGTTGCTTGGGCAGTCGTTGAGAAAGAGAACAATTTATCTTGGACTTGGTTTTTAGAGCTGTTGAAGGAAGATCTGCAAATAACCATTCCTGCAGAGTGGACCTTAATTAGTGATCAACAAAAGGTTAGGCCTTTACTATACATAATACATTTGGGGTGTTAAATACATTTTTGTGTACATTTAACCTTTATTTACCCCCAATATTCATTTGAATAATTGCTGTCGGGGCTTTCAAATGCCATAACAACTGTTTTTCTCGATTCTGAGCACAGGAACTGTGCAAGGCATATACATGCCAACTGGAGCGAAAAGCATAGAGGTATGGTACTGAGGAAACATTTCTGGAAGTGTGCAAAGTCCACAACCGAAGCCCAACTGCAGGCATCATTAGAAGAATTGGATAAGGCAGATGGTGAGGCTTGTAGAGACCTGCGAAAATATCCATTCAGACTGTGGTGCAAAGCCTTTTTAAGAACAGAGGTAAAGTGTGACACAGTAGAGAATAACTTATCTGAGGCTTTCAATAGCACCCTCATCAAATGCAGAGAAAAGGCTTTGATTCCAATGTTGGAGGACATTAGAGTTGCTACGATGAAACACATTGCCAAGAAAAGAAAATATGTTCTAAGAAGGCCAGGTAAATGTAATTACAACATGTATTTAAGGTTGATATGTTATAAATCTAACCTTATGTTTTTGTAAAAATTTATTACAGGTCCATTTGGTCCAATGATAATGAAGAAGCTCAATAAAAATATTGTCGCAAGTGAGGGTTGGCATGTAGAGTTTAACGGGGATGATGGTTAAAAGATCAAGAACGGCAGAATGCATTTCAAAGTTAGCCTACAAAATAGATCATGCTCCTGCAGAAGATGGGATCTGTCTGGTATCCCTTTTGCACATGCCATATGTGCAATTTTTGATAAGTGTACCACCAGAATCTTATGTAGATAGCTGATATTCCAAGGATTTGTACCAGAAAACATACGCACTATGAATCCAATAGATGGGAGCTATTATGGCCAAGGACTCAGCATGAGGAAATCTTATCTCCCATTCCAAAGAAAATGAGTGGAAAAGAGTTGTAGAACAAAGTGAAGCCCCAGCAGTTCATAGCACACAAATGACAAGGGAAGGTAGAATTATGAAGTGCTCAGTTTGTAATGGAGAAGGCCACAACAAATCATCTTGTCAGAGTAAGAACACTATCACTGAGACAAGAACAGGAACATCAACCCCAATAGGTGACCATGAGGAAGACCATGGCAGAGCTCAAGTTACAGCTAAAAGGAAATCACAAAAGAGGAAACCTACCGGGGGAGGGGAAGATAGAGAGGAAGAGGACAAAGGGGCTTTGATGTATATGTGAATGAAGAAACTGGTGAAACAATTTTAGAGGTAACATAATGAATTGAGAATGTTGTAATTTTCTGAAATTTGAAATTAAAACTGAAATGTAATTGATTTGGGCTTACCTCATTGCAACCTGGACAAAGAGGAGAATAAGTGCTCACTGAAGAAGGTTGCAGCCGTGGGAGAGAAGAAGGGAATTGATTTGGATCAGTGTAGAAGATTGTGTAGAAGTAGGAAAGTAGTTGGAAGACATTATGGGTTGTGTGGCTTTAAATGGTCATGGTTGTATCGTATCATGTCACTCACATTATTGGTGTAAAGTGTACCCTTTTTTTGGAAGTACAATGATGGGTGTTAGAATTGCTTTATGTCTGTAAAGTGAGGGTGCATTTATTCGAAATGTGTTCCTTTTGCTAAACAAGTTATCTGCTTTTTTTTTGCTGACAAACTCATGTGCTTTTGCTGTAATGGATGCTATGGATTATGGATTATTGTTAACATTATGGATTATGGATTATTGAGGGTTCAGTTTAACATCTTATTGAGGTTCAGTTTAACATCTTATTGAGGGTGCTTTTGCTTTTTGTAACTAATGTGGTTTAGCATCAGTTTAACACTTGAATTTGGTATTGTAAGTCATGTGGTTTTGCATCAATTTTGTACTACTTTCAACTAAAGGACATTGGCACATTAATAGGTAACCACTTCAATTCATAGTTTCATACATACAAATTTCAAACATCGGTCATGACTAAGATAACAGGTTTTAAACATTACAAACACCACACAATTACAATGTCATTACATAACCACAAATCACCATTACATCTGCAATCTCACACCCAGCTTACTAGTACATATCACCTTTTCTAACATTAGCACAAAGCACGGCTAGAACACATGCTACAAACATCATAGCTATTCCAAACAAAATCCTATAAAATCTGGCAGCTTTGGCTTGTTTTTTAACTTCACTTGCAAAAGAACCAACATCTCTGTGTAAAGCGCCTAATCGATGAACAACACCTTCAAGCATGCGCTGCCATTCTTCCGGACTTTAGGGTCTCTTCTCACCATAAACTGTGCCTTTTGTTTCTTCAAAATCTTTCCACATAAAAAAACCACACCCATGCCCCTGAAATACACAGTCAAAACCAATTACAAAAGAAATCAGAATTACTACATCTCATTGATACAGAGGATATAACTATTCATTGTATATTAAGAATGATCATAATAATTTCATTACCTTCCATTTTTGACACCCATAAAATTGTCTCTCACTCTCTCGCCTTACACAAAGAGGAGCTTTCAACCCACACCAACAGTAAATGGCCGGTTCGTATTGTAGAGTTGTGCTTCTTCCCTTAGCAGATGTTGACGCTAACGAAGAAGACATGCCTTTTCAGGGAAGAAACGTCGGAGAAGAAGACCAGCCTGCGAACCTGCGACCTCCAATCTTTACGCGATGGTGATAATTGATAAATAATAAAGGACATATTGTTCGGTAGGGATGTGACCAACTTTATTAACGGAGAGTAAATGGGTAAAAACCTCCACGCAGGCACCACGTAAGATTCCAAAGTGGAAGGGAACCTGATCACCGGTTGGGAACCCGTTGAAAGGAGTTTTTTGGGTGTTTTTTGGCACTAGGTGGTTTTAATTGGTCATTTTACAACTACGAGGGCTTAATCGATTTTTTTGTCATAGTAGGAGGGTCTATCTGACAGTTTTCCCTTGATAATAATACTCTAACTAGCAACATACTCCGTAGTTTTTAGAGGCTGTTACAATGGTTATATGGATAAATAATGGATATGAAGTTATGAACCTAATAGGAATCCGAAATTCAAAATACTACTAATGCTATGATAACTATATTATTAAAAAAAACTGCACTACTATTTGAACTGTGATAACTATATTACAAATCTAAAAACCGTTTATGATAAACAAAAAAACTCCCAAACATGGTTGTGATTAGCCTATCTATGACTTAATCCATCGATCTAGGAAAACTTCAAACCCCACGCTCTATAATCATTTCAGCAGCCTTGGCCATTCCACCCACCCCGCTGACTCCAAGAAGGGCCACAGCCAACTCCTCCTCTTTCCACTGCTTTAGCCCCTGGCTCAGCTTCTTCACAACCGCAACATCAACCTCCCTCACCCAGTTTGGTGTGGAAACCACCATCGCACTAACAAACCCTGAGAGATACGCTCTCCACGTGGCTTCATTACACCCCAGGGATATCTTCCCATCCAATGCACTTACAAGAAACTCCATGTGCCTCACGAGAACCTTGGATCGCCTAGAACCAGGTGAAAGCACTGGTTCCACCCCCATCGCAAATGCTAAGCAAAGCACCGTGAAATACGCGAGCGCATATCCCCTCAACATTTCGACTCCAGTTTGGGGTTCCGGTTTCTGAACGGATATGAACCACGAGGGTAAAGTTTCTTTTATCAGAGATTGGACTAAACTCAAACCGCCGGTTATCCAAACCAAAGACGCCCCTAGTGAAGCTGCTACCTTGAGACGGGTCATAGCTGCTGCAAGTGAAACCTGACCATATCTCAACCCATATTTCGTTTTCTTGAGCTTCTCAAGGTTCTCGACTGGTAAGCCGCTGTTTGAAATGTCTTCAACAGAACTTATCACAAGGGAAATAATCTCCTCTGTCATAAACAAGGTGTTCCTAACGCATCTATGGACACGCAAGTACATTATTCCAGGAGCAACAGGACATGTACCACTAGATAAATGAGAGACGAATCCGTGACCAAGAAGTGCACCTACCCCACCACTGCTTGCTGTGATGGAACTGTTTAACCCAAGGGTGGCTTTGAAGCAGACCCTAAGAAGTTGGACAACGGCATCACTGTTGTGGTGGAATACGGTACGGGATGCAGAGAACGTAAGATAGTCACTCCACCGCTTTATCTTCTGGCCCCAAAGGGAGACGATGATGGGCATAGATGGCCAGGGACAGACGGTGCCCAGATTACTCATGGAACGTCCCACAAAGTTGAGAAAGCGCTCGGTATCTCTGTCAAGTTTGTAAGTTATGGTGAAACTGAGAAGCACTGCCAGGGGCAGTGGTAGAGTAGAAATGGAGCTTCCACCTATATGGATGAAACAAAGTGTTGAAATATGGTGAGATGCTATGAAGAATGACATTTTTTATTACAAATACAATCATGATATCTTGATATAAATAAACTCAACATATTAAAAGGGTCCTTTGAGAATTGAAACTAATGAAACTGTTAGAAAAGAATTGATGACAACATAGGGGAAATTTGGGGGGAAAGAAAAGAAAATGTTGTTCAAACTCAATAAATTTATTTTTAATATTTTTTCATGCTCATTATATACATAAATTTACACACAAACATATATAAATGCTGATATAGATACATAATTTTTTAATAAAAATGGGAAATTAATAACGGAATATAAACATACATAGAGATGCACACACATATTCCGTTATATTTAGGCTAATCAATTCAAACATGTGTAATAAAAATTTAAAACATTAGTCATATATGATATATCTATCATTTCCCTATGCATTTTTTGAGGTAAAACCAAAAGAAAAATACATTGGAAATTTGAAAGGGAAGGGAATTAAACATAGGCTCAAACTCAATAAACTTATCTTTATATTATTTTCACACTCATTATACATACATATATGTGTATATATAAATAAATAAATAAATATATATATATATATATATCCCATTATATAAAGGTGATGAAATTAAATGTGTGCAATAAAAGTTGAAAACATTTGTCATATATCTATCATTTCCATATTCATTTTTGAGGTAAAACCAAGCAAAAGAAAATAACTTTTCTTACACTTTTTTCCCTTTCCCTAGGAGTAAAGGGTCGGTTTGGTCCTCGAAGTTGCATAAAAGGGGTCAAATAAGTCCTTATATAGAAGATTCTGTCCGGACGTGATATTTGAGGCGGTTCCCGGTGAAATTTTTTGATGAAATTTTGTGAGCATCTTATTCATTAAGTCTAGTTGACTCATATCAAATTTCAGCTAAAAACTCAATTGGGAAGGCATTCAAATGAATTCTTGAAGATAACTGCGCTTTTAACTGCACAAATATCTTCAAGAATTCATTTGAATGTCTTCCCGATTGAATTTTTATCTGAAATTTGGTATGAGTGAACTAGACTTAATGAATAAGATGCTCAAAAAAATTCATCTAAAAATTCCACCGGGAACCGCCCCAAATGGCGACCGCCGGATAGAACCTCCTATATAAGGACTTATTTGACCCCTTTTATGCAACTTCGAGTACCAAACTGACCCTTTACTCCTTTCCCTAGCATTTTCTGGGATACCAACATATGCCTCAAGGAACAGAGGAGAGGGGGTAGCTTCTCCAACAAAGCAATCGGTATGGGTGATTGGAGTAAAATAAGTTCATACATACCTACAGCAAGACTTGGGACATGAACACCGGTAGTTGCTAATGAATTCTTTATCTGCAGTTCAACTGAAGCTAGATTAGCAGCAGGACTTGGCCAATCAGTTCCATTCATGGGTGCAGGCTTCCAAACTCCTCTTGTTACTTCAGCTGAGAAGTAACTTACTATTATTGCCAAAGAAGCAGGAAGGAAATCAGCAAGGTCCTTAATCCCTGAGATAAAAATGTCCATGGCTGTAAGTTTTAACATTTAAATTGTATGGCAGCAATAAAATAAAAATGAGAAGAAGTTGAAGTTAAAGTTAAAGAAGAAAGGCCACTGTCTATGGCATTCATTTGCTTTTAGTGTGAAGCTATTGATGCTGTTTCCTTTTAAAGAGAAAGTAGATTATGAGTATTGCCTAAATCTTTTCAATTTTATCCTTGAAGAGAGATTTGGCAAAGGAGCAAGCTAGATTTATGGGTGTAGGGCAACCCAATAATGCCCCCTGGATGTGAAGATGCTATGGGTAGCAAATGGATGGATCAGATATTTGTTCATTCAGATAGATGGGTTGAAATAATCCAGTTATGATCCATGAAGAATTCGTTAACAACAACTCAACCCATCCTTGATCCATTGAATTTAATAAAATACATCATCATCAACATTTTTACTGATGGATATTTAATCCAGCCATTTTGAAAATTACTTTTCATATGCATATAGATGCTGAACTATGGATATAATGGTGGGTTAGTATTTTTTGTTAAGAATGGACTATGGAGTGATAACTCATTATAAATGTATCAGGTTGCAATGGATTTATAATTTTTTTAAATGTGATCCACAATGGATTATGAAAGCAGTTATTGGATCACTAACTAAGCAATCAACCATAAACGACATAATTACAAATGGATGATTTGAATCGAATTAATAATATCCACTTTTTAAAGATGCGTTTACCACTTGATGGATAACAAGATGAATGATGAACTAATGAACTCTTTTTATATACAACAATCAAACCAACTTTACATCCCATTTATCCAAGCCAGCAGCATAGACTTCCCTTAAGGAGCTCAACCCAAAACACTTCAATAATATGAAGAAAATGTTCAACTGATACTCAACTAACTTACCTGTAGCTAGTTCACGAGGTGAAAGCCTTCCATGGGCACAGGCCGTTAAGGCCGCATCAAGCGCAAAGGGAACCGCCTCTAAAATATCCCATGCGGGCAATTTAAGACGGGTAGATAAATCTTCACCACCAGGCCCAGATGAATTACTGCTTCCAGAAGCAGTGGGTGTAAGAGGCTGTCCACCCCTGCTTAGATTTCTGAACATGAAATTCAACAATGCTTCCACAATTTCATGAACAGGAGTTCCATGTTCAAGACCAGAAAGGGTTGAACACATACATGCCATATTTTGCCTGTACCAACATTTTAACTTTGGAAATGAATCCATAAATATAGGTTCTCTATGCCACGGATCTAAAAGCCTTGAAAACCGCTTGCACTTGATTTGATCGTTTGATGAATTTTCAGTTGCAGCCAGCTGACGGTTGCGCACCAATAATAAATACTCAGGAGTTACATGGGACCCCACTGGGCATAATTCCCCATTTACACTTTCAAATGGCGGCTCATCAAATCTCCATAACCTTAGCAGAAGAGTGAATGCATTTGAAAATACCATATGGGATGATAATTCTTCCCTGGTAAGAGCCCAAGAAATGGTGGGTGCACAAGAACCAAAGACTTCACAGATTGGCATCAGTGCAGCAGCAAGTTGTGGGACCTAGTGAGAGAGAAAGAGAGAGAAATCATTACATATTACACCATTGACCTACTTCAGAATTCAAAACTTGCTAGATTTTCTCAATAAAAAATAAGAAAACAATTATGTCAGATAGGAGAGGACTCCATTATTACCGTGTGACCAAGTTCAATTACTATTACTTGATAGTGAAAATAACTTCAGAATTAGAAACTGGAATTTGAAGTTCAAGTGTTCCACCTACCAATCCATGCAAGGAATAAATCTGTATACCATCAATAGATGATATTCCGACAAGAAGGACATTCAGAAAAGCAGCATAACGTATCAAATGGCTTTCACTTCCAGTGTATTCTTTAGGAATGGGAGGTGAAAGCAGTCTTGTGATGAACATCACAACGTGCTCCTGCAAGCACAGAAAGAGCGTCATAATGGAACTAAGAAATTTCCCTTTACCTTGATATGTACTACGCACTAAATAAATACATTTTAAAAAATAAATTAATAAAGTACTTCAAGACAATTAACTTTAACAAGATAAGAAAACATACAACAACAACAACAACATCCAAGCCTTAGTCCCAAAAGATATTGGGGTCGGCTAACATGAATCGATACATGATATCACCACCAAAAGGAAAAGAAAGAAAATAATGAATCCTAAATTAGAACAATATGGACAGGGACTTGGTAAGTCAGTGGCGATTGTCTACATTTATTCCAAAGATCTATTAAGTAGTACATATTACCTGTATATTCCAACCACGGGTAAGAGATGCTCCACAGAGAACTGTTGCGGCAGAAATTTTCTCATCATCAGAACCACTTACCGCGAACTCATATATTTTCTCCAATTCCGCTAAACTTTCATCACACACATAACCAAAATTTAGGTGCATTACAAATTGCATGAATGCAGAAAAATCATTCTTATAAACCCAACCTTATGTCGAAGAGTGACCACAGTGTAGTGAAGGGCTCAAAAAAGTAACTATATGATTTAAATGTGATTCTCTAAAAAACTAGGAAAACCAAATCTCAGAATTGGCAGTGCCTACCAAACAATTTAGGTGTTAAAGTCACATTAGTAGAGAGAAACGAACAGGCTTTTCCCTTCAAAATCATCATGTCTCATTGTAGCATTGTGACTGCCCATACAGCACACCAGAAGGCTCACTTGCATGATACAAGTAGTGTATCAGTAAAAAAAGTAGTAATTGCGCAAAAAAATCATCCACATTTGATTAAATAGATTAAATATCTCCACCGAACTGTGTATTACAAAACACTTGGTATGAAAAGACATCACCAAATTTTCACGCCGTTCGTACTTCTGCTTTGAGCTCTTCTTCTCATTCTACATCTTACTCCCTCCGTCCCTTATAACTTTGCCAACTTTCCTTTTTTGGATGTCCCAATAACTTTGCCACTTTCCCATTTAAGTAAAGAATTTGTGGTTCCAGTTAATTCTCTATCCTCTGCACAAACCTCGACCACACAATTTTTACTTTATTAATCCCCGTGTCGATCAAATTTGACAAAGTTATTAGGGACGGAGGGAGTAATAGATTGTCCCATTTATTTCATATGACAAGAAAACTACGCAATTATTTTAAGCGCCTGATTACATATATCATCAATAACTTGCATTAAGTGCATGATGAAATATAACAAAGGGACTTAAGGACGCAAGACAACTGCAACTTGTCATACCTTGAGGCTGGGGTAGAAACCAGCATACTCATCATTGGAGGAGTTAAAGGAGACCCTTTCATCAATGAAGACCAGCCAGGTGTTTGGCCTGAAATGCCACATGGTATTTGATTGCATCGGCCTTTTACATATCCAGGCCAGAAATACGCAGATGTATCCAGAATATTTCTGGCAATACAAGCCTCAACAACCAGGTGTCGCAAGTTTCCAACTACAGTAAACCACAAGATCACTGGAACCAACATTTATATGGGTGACTATCTTCAAAGTGTATTGGGAAAGAAAGGAAATGCTAACCGCAGTTCGAAGGCATGTCATTCAAGCTCATGCCATCAAAGTATCCACTGGAAACAGTGAGACCTGAAAGAAACATCATCGCTTTTGCAGCGGCTTGATTTGCCACTGAAGCTAACTGTAGTGGTGGAGACAACAAACCTTCATAATCATCCAACTGTTTTAGACTTGAAACTAAGTCTTGACGACGCTTTCCTAAACAATTCTTTCCTTGATTAGCATGAAGGAGTTCCCTTTCTTCTTCCTCAATAATGTTTACAACTGCAAGTGGTGTAATAGATAACAGCATGCATAGGCACGTATCAAGACGTGGTACTGGTCCTTCAGATGAATGTCTTTCCTAAAGGATAAGAAATAATACCAGATATTAAGTATGATTCCAAATACACTAATACAATAAGGTTTAAGACAATAAGGTTTAAATATATTTTTAAATACAGTATTTTTTGCTTTAGGTCCCTCTACAATGATTTCTTTTCTGTTCATCCATGCAATTGATGTTATTTTATTTTTAGGCCATCTCTAACTCTCTAGCAACCTATGCTTATGAACAAAACTGACATGACTAACAGAATTCCAGTTTTGCTTATTTGTGTTATAATAATTCTCAGAAATACTAGATACCTTGATGTCAGAGAGCCACCTAGACCTATACTAAGAGTGTGAATAACATGTTTCACTTAGCCTTTTTTATGATGAGAGGGTCCTGGACCTTTGGCCTGAATAATCTCATGGATCCTAAACTTAACATCCGGTTAACCTCACTGGCCCTCTGCAGGAGTCGAACTCTGGTAGCTACAGGAGATAATCTTTTACTCTTGGGTTCAAGCTAGTATAACAACCCCAGAGGGTTATTTAGCTCAGCCTTTCTCAAATTAGTCTCCAAAGAGTTACAAAATTAGAAAAATAGAAGTAGAGTTACACGAGCAACAATTTTTTTCCTAATACCAGAGTTAGTCAGGGGCTAAAGACCAACAAAAATTGCAGCACCCGAAAACCAAACGAAAAAATCGCATAGATCTAAAACAAAGAATGCTTTATTTGCAGGAAAAAAAAACATATTTAAATTAAACATATATTAATGAATTTAAAGTTCACTCACTCTTTGAACAAGCCGCAGTGCCGCAGCCCATAGCCCAAGAAATGTGTCATGCCAAGTGGTACAGTTAACTGCCTGAAGAGCCTTCACTAGAACTGAAATACTAAAGCAGTTAGCATTATGATAAAAGTAAAGTATAACTGTATAACTTTACTACAACAGTAGAACGGCAATACTGATCCAGTGAACAATGAAAAAGGAAGAAAATGCAACTACTTGAGAGTGAACCAAAGAAATGTTGTAGTTACCAGTAAGTGTTTCGGCAGCGCTTGTAGCTAACACTTGTGACCCATCTATGGAATCTTCAAGAAAGAGATCGATGGGCAGCCAGTAAGCTGATGGGCTGGTTCCATGACTTCGGCTGGGACAAGATACAAGTGAAGATCCAACTACTGCATTCATCCGGTGAAGTGTGCTTTTTTTACCTTCCCTTGACAGGAACACATCTGTATCTGATGTTAACTGCAAAAGAGCCTCTGGTGAAACACTTCTTGAATTTCTCAAAGCTATTGAATTTGAGGCAAGCAACTGCACGTGCTTGATAAAGGGCTCCCAATAAGAAGGCCTAATGACAAAAAAAATAGAGCAATTATATGTGTATGACCAAAACAAGAAGAAATAGATGCAAGAATAAAAAATGATTTTACTCAAAAGGAAAAGAAAAACATAGAACACGCTAAAAGAAACTGTGAAAAACATGTTTTTAAAGTCAGATTAATAGGATCATCACAGTTGGATTAACAAAAGACCATTAAAGAGAAAATGCAAAAATGTATACAATCCTACATGTTCCTTCGCACCAAGAATAATACTCTGGAAGTCACTTTGTTCCGGAAAAATTCACAAAGCAATTCAGTGGCCATTATAGTATTCTTTTTAGACAATAACTCATATTGTTCTGCTCGTTTCCCATTAAATGCATCATGATTGTCTATCTCCATATCTTGTGTTCTCATTGACCACATAGATTCCTTTTCAGCTGAGAGCTCCAGCAATCCCTCATCATCGAGTGAAGCATCAACTAACTCCCTCACAATTGTAAAAATAAAAGCCACAATAAACAACCCAAATTCACTATCTGGGAGCCCAAAAGCCTGGGAAAGATTAAGAATCTCGTTGATGGACTCCATTGTCCTGCATTTTCATATTTAAATGTGTCCCAATTAAATAATATCAGACTGAACGTAATGGTGACTTTATAATCATCCAAATAAACATATATATTATATGTGTGAGTTTTTTTACAATAGTAAAGGGGCAAGTTGACCGTACTGTTGATAATGCGGAGCATTAATCTGAGACTTCAATGAGAAGATATATCTTTTCAAAAGTTCCATATACAGTCTATAGGCCACAGGATAGATCTTTCTGTTAGGGATAACTCTGCAGTAAAAACAACACTAGCTAAACTCAGACCACTGCGAGTAGTAAAATGAGTTTACAAACCATTGTGTATCGCAGAAGGTAAGAAGAAAACGAAGAAGAAGACCTGGTAGAGAGGAGAGCAAGAGCAAAGAGGGGAGGGACAACCCTGAGCGTCAAGCACTTCTCGAGATATTTCCAAGCAATAGGAACGTTATTGGACCAACATATGTGGGAGACGAGGATAGTGGCGAAGTCGGTGGAGGGAATGGAAACGCCGGCGGCGTTGAGCGTAGATGATATCTGCAGAGCGTACACCAGGGGGTCGGCCGCCCTGTCCTGAGCCAATTTTGTGAGCTCCAACACCGTGTCCCATGGGCTGGCCATTGCAGACACCACCGCCATGAGAGGCTCGATTGCTCCCTAGGATTGGATTAATTTCACGAAATGGCAAAGCTTTCATGCGCGTCGCCTGAAATTTTGTTTTCCAAAAAATAGTCTTGGAGAGTCTCGTTATGTGTTCGAGGAGGAGAAAAATGGGAAACCCGGTCAAAATAGGAGGCAGTAAAAACTGAAAAGCAAGGAAAAGCTAATTTGATTATTGGGGTTTGTCCTCAAATAATACTAATTAAAAGCATTTGGATAAAAAAAGAGACTTTTCTTTTAAGTTCCAAAAATAAGACTAAATAATACTTAAGGGACTATTACACTCTTACTAAGCCCAAACCCACTGGCTTGCTACAGTAACTCGTCACAGTGACCAAATGTGCAGTGACCAATGACATAGTTACAAAATTCATCCAGTGACCAAAAATAATTAGTGACCAAACATCCAAAATTCCTCAGTTACCAAAAATCATTAGTGACCAAACATCCGAAATTCACCAGTGACCAAAAATTATTAGTGACCAAACATCCAAAATTCACCAGTGATAAAAAAATTTAGTGACCAAACATCCAAAATTCACCAGTGACAAAAAATCATTAGTTACCAAAATTTCTGTCCAATAACATAGTGACTTTCACCCGTTTAACGACCTACGTCCATCCGTCCAGTGACAGTTACCCGATCCGTCCAGTTACAGTTATCTGACTCGTTCAGTTACAGTTACAGTTACCCGACGCGTCAAGTTACCCGACCCGTCCAGTTACAATTACCCGATCCGTCCAGTTACAATTACCGGACCCATTCAATTATGACCCGTCTAGTTATAATTACCCAACCTGTCTAATTATAATTACCCGATTTTGACCATAGTTATTCAATCCAAGCAATTGTCATTATCGGTTCGATCGTTTACTTTTACTGACCATCACTCCGGCCACCACCGATGAGGACCACCTCCGGCGACAACCGGCGACCACCATTGGCTGGCAACCGTCGATGAACACCACCTCCGTCCACCGCCAACAGCCACCACTGCCAGCACCACGTCATAGCTCCCTGTCTCACCCCACCCCTCCCCTGCTTCACCCCAGCCCCCTCCCAAGCGCCACGCCACCCCTGCCACACCTAGCCCTCTTCCCTGTGTCACCCCATTAGTCCTCAGCCCACACAAAGACCCTCCATGGTCCACGCTGTAGCCTCCAACACCACTGCTCAAGATGGCGGTGGAATCTGAGGGACAGAGGAGGCGAATCAAAAGTTTGGTGGCGGAGGCGGCGATTCGAAGCTGGGTGGCGGCGCCGACGAGCGGAGGCAGAGCGACGGAGGCGGAGAATCAAAGTTGAGCGGCGGCGGCGACGAATCAAAGTTGGTGGTAGCAACGAATCGAAGCGGGTGGTAGCGACAACAAGTTGATGACGATCGGATATATGAGAGAGATGATCTAGCTAGGGATTCAGAGTTGAGAACTCGAGCGACCAGATCTCAAAATGGGAGAATTTGAGATGCTAGGGCTGTTTTAATTTACTGGAGTGTACGAAGTATATCACAGGGGTAAATTAGGGCATTCAATTATAATAGGTCTCATATTTGTCCAGATTTTAAAGTGCTCAGAATTTTGTCATTTCGATACCTATTAGTCTTATTCGTGTCATTATTTCTTGATTATTTCTATACAAGGACCATTTTGGGTGGACACAAAATTTCTATATTATTTGTGTATAAGCTAATTAAGAGGATTTTGGCATCAAATCATGTCTCATTTTAAATGAATTGCAAGTGTACATAGACAACTAGGAGAGTTTTGTGTACATTTTGTGTACAATTCATGTACATTAAGAATTTTCCATTTTGAATACTATTTATGTGTAAAAACAAAAATGTTTGGTGTATTTGGTGAACACTATATAAACATTCCCCCTCCCTCCTCTCTTCTATTATGGATTATGGACCTCCCCTCCCTCCCCTTTTCTACATTCTTTCTTTCTTTTTTCTTATGACAACAATAATCTCACATTTTAGCAGTACTCTCAGAATAAACTTATATTTATGTAATTCCAAAATAATCTTCTTTCATCAGGTTTTCCCTTTTTGATAACCTTACACAAACAATTTCACCCTCATCGATCTTCCCAAAACTATCTCATATGTCAATTTTCTTTTTTCTTACTATATATTTTCTTTTTTTTATCATCTTGGCACTTTTTTCGTTTTTTTCATCTTCTTATTAATTTATTTATTCTATTTGTTTATGTATTTCCTTTCAACCTGATAAGTTTTTTTTATAGAATTTCTACTCAATGAATTTTTTCTTCTTTCTTCTTTTTCTTCTTCCTCATTTTCGCTCTGTCTCCATTTTGTGTATTACTATTTGATTAATTCTCTTTTAAATATGTTTAACCTGCACTACTCATTGTTATTTTATTTATTTATTTATTTCAATTTTTTCTTTTCTATTTAGTCTCCTTTTTCTCCTTTGTTTCCCTTTTCATCATCTTAAAAGTCGTTATTTTTTCTTTGTCCCTATTCACATCATCCCATTTCGCTAGTTTTGGATATAGTATTGACTTGTTGTTCTAGATGTATTCTTACTTTTTTTCCCATTTTCACCACTCACCTGTCACTTTCCGTGTAAAGAATTACATCATTTTCTTTATTTCTTATTTTTCTTTATAGTTAATTTTTTCCTAATTTTTTTTCACAAAAAGTTCCTTCGTAATTGATAGAAATAATGGGTGAATTTACTTAGAAAAATACGATGATGCAGAAAGAAGAAAATAAAAAATATTTTGATGATGAAATTAAGGTAACAAGAAAAAAGAAAAGAAGAAAGAAGAAAAAACAAAAGTATCAAGAAGGAAAAGGGGGGAAGTTAAAATAAAAAATGAAAATATATTAAAAATAGATTGGGAAAAAGATCAGTTATAAAAATAGAATGATTAAGAAGAGAAATATATAATGGGGGTAAAATATACATTTGATTTAGGAAAAATTCACATTAATAATTTGAAGTATTAGGAGTCTTCCAATATTAATCCCACGTATGAGTTATTCTAGTATAATCTCATTTATAAATCTTCTCAAAATAATCTGGTGACCTGAATAAACCTATCCAGCAGGTAATCGGAACACGTGGCATGTTTTGATTGGTTTTCCATTATTTTTTGTTTTATCTTTTCATTTGTTTCCTGATTTCTATTCCTTTCATCTTCCACCGTTCCAAGTCTGTTATTTTCTGGCTAGGAAGCCGCCGCCCTCCCTATCATCTCCAAAAGTAAACCGACGTCTGCTACTTCAATTCATCTCTGCCAGAAGTTGACACCCCCCTTTTGACCAAGAAATGGGATACCGCGGTGCGACTCAGAAGATAGAAAATCTTCGATTAAGATCCAAAAAGTTTCTGCAGCTAATTTAATTCCCACTAGTTCATTTAGGATATGTGAATTAGCTCCTCTCCCAACCCGTCAATTGCATCTGGAGGACAAAAAGAATACCAGGAAGAAGGCCACAAGGGAGGAACTAAGGAATGGAAAGAGAGAAAGGCAATAGCAAAGAAATGTTAATAATTAAAATAGGGAAAATTTGCTGCAGGCACGATGGAGAAGCATTCCCCACACCGTAAATTTTTCACCAGTTGTTGGTCGGAGAATCGCCGGAGAAGACAACCAGAGTAAAGGTCGATCCGTCATATGCTTTGCCATGTTTTCTGGTTGGCTAGCGTCGTCCAGCGACACCCACAAGGAGGGGAAAGCGGGAAAGCAGACCTCCATATCGCGGAGAAAATAAGAAAAGAAGAAAAAGAAAAATCATGGCTACTTAGAATAGGATAGGGAAGATGAATAGCGTATGAAAGGAGCTGGTCAAAATGAGTCGTTGAACAAACTTCCCCTCTTTGCATTTCATTGGTTTTACTTTTACCCGTTGAATAAGTTGTAGGTCATCAGGATCAACCAGAGAAGACAACTTATTAATTTGGGACTATTTTAGAATCACTTATATTTAGGATTAATATTGAAAGACTCTTAATAGTTGGGATTATTAATATGAATTTTTCCTTTGATTTATGTAGGGACTTACCTCAAGGGCTATCAACGATTGTAAACGCGAATGCTAACTTGAAAACTCACAAATTGGTTCCTAGTACCAAAATAAGATCATAGGATAAATGTTTAACCATTTGAAACCAAATAAAACGAAATAAAATGCTAGAATTCGGTCTTATCGAAAGATTACTACGTAGTGGAAAGTTTGCAGCACCCAAAATCGATCACCTTGGATGGTTTTTTGAAAAAAAAGGACCCTATTTATTATACCTAAAGGCTAAAATTAAGTATTTGAGCTGGAATCAATGTGTACAGACATGTGTGTTGAGCGCTTTGCGCTCCTCTAACACATGCATGCATTGGTCGACAGAAGCTGTGTATGGTCTCATGTGCGTGCGGTCACATCACATTTCTCGATCGTGTATACCGGTGAACACCATGTGTGGTCTTGTGCGCATTTGGCAGAAACCCACTTGCCACGCAATGTCGTGCGTCCGTACGCGTCTGGTAGGCTCTCCAACTCCGTTTTGCTTTGATTTTGAACTTATCGGTCACGCTCTTACCCAAAACAATAAACCAAGCTTAATTAAGTCATTTATGACTCTTCCCAAGCCCAAATACATACTTATTTCCAATTTTAAATCTTGAGGTGTCACATGAACAGTTGAGAAAGTAGAAACGAGGTATACGTAGATTGAGAAACACATTTTGACTTTGATCGCCACCATCAAGAAATTGGCCCCGTATTTCCATGCCCGCTCCATTGTCTAATACACCTCCCATATATCCGCTTGCGGCCATCCTCCAAAAGTTTTGATGAGTGGGAGAATCACCAAATGGCCCCCACCCACTAACTAATACAATGTGGAGTTCTGCCGAAGACCGATCATCAAGGGTCAGACCTTGACAAATTTCGGGTAAGAATGCACAACTAAGGTGGAAGAAGGAGAATGGGTCGGAGGGGAAGAAGGGAGCTAGTGGAAGATTTTGACAAGGTTGTGGAGGGGGTAGTGACAACAAATTTTAGGGAATAATAGGACATTAGTCTCATTTTTTCATTTTGAGGTT